TTCAAAGAAATGTAATCTGCTCTTATATATACATACATGAGTAGGGGCTAGATGATTTGACACTACCCACCAGTACTGTAGTCTCTGCACCTACCCTGCGCAAAAGCAGCATGGGCCAGCTAGGTGTCTGTCCCTCCGTGTCAAAGGGTGCCGCGCCATGCGCCGTGGCGCGTCGCTGCCACGCCCAGATCTCTGTGGCGTGGCAGCCCGGCCACGTTAACGTTGAACGGCCCTAGTCGCTGTCACGTCGCTGCTCCTACCACGCCCCATGCATGGCGCGGCAACGTGATTTGGCCGTGCCATGCGAATAGGCGCGGCCAAGAGTGTTAGTTTTGAAAAGAAAAAAAATAAACAATGTCATATTTGAAAATAGTTTTAAAAAAGTGTTAAAAATAAAAAAATTCCCACTATACATCACTTCCTGTCAAGTAAACGCACTAAACAACTGAAGCATCCCGTAGTATGTCCATGTTAGTAGCTCAGAGACCTCTCCGTTTTCAATCCTGCTGCAGTCCGCTGATCTTCCCCCACCTGCTCATCTTCTCTCCACATGTGCTGCTATGCCTTTAAAGAATCTGCCTGCCCTTCAGCTCATGACAACACAGCATCATGCAACTTCACAGCGTTACTGCAAGTCAGCGATCACCTCACCAACCGAGCTCTCTAGCCAAAAGCCCACGACCCGAGGAGGACAGGAGGACACGGCGTCGTCGATGGTAGATGAGCGTCGGGGCGGTGGAGGCGCTCAAGGACAAGGCCGGGCCTCTGCCGCTGGAACTACACACTGCAGTTCGTCCACCGGCCGGGTCTCCAAGGCCAACGTGCGCAGCTTCGTCGCGCAGGCCAACTGGCGCCGGCGGAGAGGAGGGACGAGGAAGTTAAATATGAACTAGCTGCCACCGCCGCTGAAGCCTGAAGGATGCACCAAGCTTCCGTTTCGGTCACGTCTATCCGTGAATCCATCTCCAGGCATGCGAATAGATGCAATCTTCTACTTCAGCATGCCGGCCCAGGCCCAATTACATTAAACAAATTAGTAATTTATTTGTTTTCTACATCTTGCCTTCAAAAGTTCAGTATCATTTTCCTTTTATTCTATCCTTCCCTATCATCAGGTGGATGATTTTCCTAATCCAACAGACATTGTACTATGTTATTATTACCTAATTCTCCAACGTGTGTTCTCCATGTAATAATGTAATATTTGCTATTACATACCTGGTAAGCTCAGGTGACAACCCAAGCAATGCTCACTTTTGTACACCACTTTTTTCCCCTCACGTCGTGCTTTTTAGAAGGAACGAATGGTTTGTATTTGCATCATTATTTATTCATAAATAGATTGCTATCTATAGCTTCCACGTGAGTATTTGGATGGTTTCCTGTTCTCAGTCATTGAAGATGGGTGATTGTCTACCATGTTTAAGGTTTCAAGTTAAATATGTTGAAGCCAAAATTATTCAACTATGGGGCATTTTTCTCAACATATGCTGCCTCCATAAATTATATTTCTATATAACACTACAAAATTCCGCAGCAACGCATAGGGGTACCATCTAGTCTAGTTTATGTAAAAGAAAGGGAAACCAAAACAGATGCCAAACACAGTGCATCCGAAGGGCTAAACTACTCACGCGATGCGACAGAGTACAAACACTGCCATGAGTCATCGTTGCCGAGCATGACTGCATAGCAGCGAGCAGCTCCGACTTTCCATGGCGTACCACACGCCGACCCACCCTCCGGCGGGCCCGAAGCAAAAGGCCGCTAGGTCATAGTTGCCAAGCTCAAGCATAATGCGAAGAGCAGCTCCGACTTCCTATCTCGATCCCGCGCCTTGCCCCCAGCAGTTGCAGACATTCCAAGTAGAACCCTAGACTTTGAAGAATGGGGGCTCGCCTCGTGTCATCATTGCCAAACCACATCCCCAATGTAGCAGCTCCAACTTCACGCTGCAAGACCCGCCTCCACACGTCAGCCAGGCGTCGAGAAGCGAAGAGCGACCACTAAAGGCGACATCGAAGATGCGATGGATTTCAAACAACGATGCCTTCAAGAAGGACGCGACGCCGATGGCACCACCGTCGCTCATCCAAGAAATAGACTGGGCTTTCACCCTTGTAAGACAATGCAAGAGGGGACTGACACCCCCAGCAGGGGAAATGGTGCCCACAGGCATCACTGTCGCTAAGGCTTTCACCCAAGGAGCCCTCTAGCACAAACGTCGGGCCAAGATGCGAGCCCCATGCCTGCTACCACCGCCGTCGTAGCTGTCCTGCCTCCCCACAGAAGCCTGTTCAGAGGGGAATCGACGCGCCGGCTCCACGCAGCACCGCCTGACAACTATGTCGGCCGCTACTTTCCCATCGATCGGCAACGCGCAGCGACACCGACTCTACCGCGACGTAAGACCGCCGATGCCAAAAGCCGTTGCGGGTGCCATCGCCGCTCGGCACCCATTCTTTGTCGCCGCCGGGCCTCGATCGCCAGAGACCAGCAGTCGTGGCCCACCACCGCGGGCGCTGCCACATGCCCTAAGGCCACCGAATCCGGCCGCCAAAGCACAGGTCCCGGCAACCCTAGCCAGGGCCGCCGCCTCTGCTATGGCTGCCACCCCATGCACCAACCCTTACTTGGGTGCGCCGAATCCAGCCGACAAGGCTCAAGATCTGGCCACCCGGGCACCAGATCTGACCGCCTTGGCACTGGACCCGGCGGGTCGGGTGGGCAGCGCCGCCGCACCATGACTGTGGTGGATGGGACGACCCGAGGAGATAATTTAACCATCTTTGCTATTATGAACGACAATTTAAAATAACTCTCTAAATTTACAATTAGAATATAGACCTCGGCCATTATAAAAGATAATACCCTTAAGTTTGCATTCAAATTACCAACACATGCTGTTATGTATGATCCATACGATATATTACCCATCATTGCTATTATGTAAAACAACCTAAAGTTTAACACATGAATCTAATATTTAAATTAGCCACCTATCTAAAGTGAGCCTAAATTTACATCTAATTATCTACCTACTATTATGATAGCTAATCTACCTTAAAACTACATCTGAAGTTTATCAAAGATAATTGAAAATAACCTGTTAATTTTTTTCTGTAGACTATTACTAATTGGAGGCCAGTCTCCACGTTAGTTCTCACCAGACGCGCTAGAAAAAAAAAGATAAATATTAGAAATTCTCAAGTTAATCAGAAACATCTGGCCATTAGACGAAAGACTCGGAACAAGGATATCCGTTTGACTTCCGTTCTGTTGTTTTCATCTATGGAAACATGGTTCAAAAGGAACTCCTAAATTTGCACCTAAACTATAAATGTTTGTAAGTATGAAAGATAATTCAAAATAACCCCCTAAATTTTCTCTTAATGAACCAACTTTGCTACTATGAAAGAAATTTGAAACAACCATCTAAATGTATAACTAGAATATAGATCTCAGCAATTATGAAAGATAATTTAAAATAATATACTAATAGTTTTTATAAGTTATCCACCTCTACCATTATGAAAGATGATACAATGTACCCCCCTGAGTTTATAATCAAATTACCAACATATGTTGTTGTGCAAGATCTATTTCATATATTACCCATCTTTCCTATTGTGTAAAACAACATGAACTTTAACCCTTGAATCTATATTTAAATTAGCCACCTATCACAAGTGAATCCAAATTTAGATCTAATTATCTATGTACTATTATGATAGATAATCTACCTTAAATCTACATTTGAATTACCATTGTTGTCAATATTCAGAACAACAATTATTTATGCTAATGTTTGAACTAAATGCATGTTCATAATACACAGAGGTGGTTATCATAACTAGATAGAGTCTACATAGTATCTATCATGTCTATTGTGTTGGAAAATGAACAATGTGAAAAACGTGTTATTTAATACAAGTATTTTTTATTAGTTAGAAATATAAAATAGTAACTAATATGTGAGATGGAATAGGAAAGACAATATTAGACATAGCACCACAAAATAATAAAAACTTTTTTTTATAAACAAATAGAAGACAACTATTTGATTGCATGTCTCTCGTAGCTTGACTTTGTAACCAAGTATTTGGCTCTCATCAGTGACCTCGCTCTAATAAGCCGGTGTTCAGTTCAAAAATACTTCCCAAAAGTGTACTACAAGATTCATTACATCGAATCTTGCGATCGTGCATAGAGCATTTAAATGTAGACGAAAAAAAACTATTGCATAGTTTGGTTGGAAATCGCGAGATTTAACGTTTTGAACCTAATTAGTCCATGATTGATTGAACACTATTTGCCAAATAAAAACAAAAGTGCTACAATACCATGCATGTTGATGACTGTGGAGCCAGCTAGCAATTTGTCCTTTGCGGTATGGCTGGATGGTCCCTTTCACCACCACAATGTATGTTCCGTCACTTTCTATGAACAGCTGTATGGGGTCCATTGAAGACAACATGACCCAGGAATCACGAAGAAGCAGTGCCCACCAGCATGCTACAGTGCAAGCTTTGGTCCTTTGGGGGGTCCCGGTCAAGCTACTGGCTGGCACGGAGTAGTGGCACGTCAAGATTGCTCCCTTGCTTGTCGAAGCTTCTCTGGCTTGGAAGTAATCTTTTATGCATGCGTTCTCTTTAGCGGCGCTCAAGATATGTGTTCTATATATATGTAGTACCATAGAGGGAGCGACTGTACATCACTACCGAACTCAGTGGCTTTGCTTTGAGAAAGTGCCGTAAGCTCAATTTATATTTGACAAAGGCTTTGCTGAGTGCTGCACACTTTCGATTGTATTTGTTTCCACGTTGCTTGTTCCATTTTTATTCGTTGCTTTTTCTTCTGCTGCTGCTTCAATTTTTCTTCTTCAATCAGTGGATGAAAGCTGTTTCTGCAATCTAATCTGCGCAACTCTTTTCTGATCTCATGATCCTCATCCACATGTGCTTCGGGAATATCAGTAGTCAGTTGTGACCTTGGGAGCCATGGATTTCGCCACAGGGCCTCTGGGCACCCTGCTTTCTAAACTCGGCCAGCTGCTCCAAGATGAGTACAACCTTCAGAAGGGAGTGAAGAAAGACATCGAGTTCGTCACGAGAGAGCTGGAGAGTATGCGTGCCGCCCTCCGCGATGTCGGAGAGGTGCCACAGGAGCAGCTCAAGGAAGTAGTCAAGATCTGGGCTCGGGATGTTAGGGAGCTCTCCTACGACATGGAGGACATTGTTGACACGTTCCTTGTGCGTGTCCAGGGCTCTGAGCCTCCCAGCAAAAGGAGTGTCAAAAGGTTCATCAAGAAGATGACAAGTATTGTGAGCAAGGCCAAGACTCGCCATGATATCGGCCAAGAGATTAAGGACATCAAGGAGAGTGTCAAGGACGTGGCCGAGCGACGTGACAGGTCAGTGCCGGGACATCACAGACTTTGCGTTCGAATTTCAACAAAATTTTCTCTTATTTGCCTCTTTGTTCTGTTTTTTTTCATCTCTCTACACAGGTACAAGGTTGATGCTATTACTCCTACCAAAACCTCAGTTGACCCTCGCATAACAGCTCTGTACACTAAAGCGGCTAGCCTTGTGGGCATTGATGAGCCAAGGGAAGAGCTGATCTCGATGTTGACAAAGGAAGATGGCATGTCATCGGCTGAACAAAGGATAGTCTCTATCGTTGGCTTTGGAGGACTAGGCAAAACAACGCTTGCCAAAGCAGTACATGATAAGATTAAACCGCAATTCAATTGCACTGCTTTTGTATCGGTGTCACGTGATCCTGATATTATAAAAATTTTCAAGGACATGCTTTATGAGCTTGATAAGAATGAGTACATGGACATTCACAATGCTGCATTAGGTCAACAGCATCTTACTGACGTTGTGCAAGAATTTCTCAAAAATAAGAGGTACGTGCTGTCTTGTGCGCTAGTCCAAATAATCACCGCATGAGTCCATTGGATGGAAACCTCTGAAGATTATTGCACACATGCGTGGTACTGTCAACAGTAAAGTTGTAGGTTCATGCTTGGCTACAGTCGTCAATCAGAAAGTGTGGCGGCGGCTGTGCATGTGTATCTTCTTTCCATTGTAAAATTGCCCATTTACCTTTTTACTTTCAAACCAAATGATTACACAACTGTGGGCATACGAGCATTGTTGCCACCATTTGTCCTCATTGTACTCTACCTAGTGGCACCAATTAATGCTTTTTCTTATAATGAAAGGTTTATTAATTTAAGGATCATTGCATCGGGTCGACAAAACTTCTCAAAAACTCCATCGATCTTTGTATAGCACGATTATTCACGAAATCTAATAAAGTACGGAAACATGTATACCTAAGGGCATACTGTTAGTGCTGACAGTTATTTGCTAGCAGAGAAAAGCTAGCTGATTGATTTTTATTAGCTAACCTATTAGTTGAGTCAAGTCAAGGTCCTTCATCTAGTAGTCAGTAGTATTTATCTTGGGAAAATCAGTTAATAATTTTTTTATTACAGAGGATCCTTTTGAGCTAGCTATTAACTGGACTATTAGCTTGTGTGTTTGAATCCATTAGTGTTAATTTTAGCAGCTAACAGTTAGTGCTAATGGATCCAAGGTGGACATAATAGCTATCAATCAAAACACTAGATTGCCTTCCATGTACCCATCAAAACATAATCCTAACTACCTGTGCCAAATGTTGTGAAGCTGCCACAACCAAACGCTATGAAGCCGGCTTCTATATGATATATAGCCTATGTAAAGAGCCAGTGGATAACTGGGTACCAAGTGAATCCTCCTTAACCAAAGTGCCTGACACATATCGGTTGCCTCTATCAAGATGTACTTTTGGTTTTCATTGCATGGAAAGAATCTCTCATGATTATTGCACACATACATGGTGTCTGTCAACAGAAAAATGTTGGATTTATGACATAAAGTTATAAATCGTCAGTGACTAATTGTGGTGTGTGTGCATGGATGATGTTGTTCCATGAAAGAAATAACCAACTGCTTTTGTATTTTTCTGTTACATTTTTTATGCCAAAAGATTACACAACTATAGTAATATTCCACCAAAGAATGCCGACATGTAGCTAAAGCTGCTTCCATATATCAATCCAAGTACATACTGACCTAATCTGAGTGCAAACGGGATAACTTTTATTGTTTAGGAGAGATTAGAAAACACAGGAAAATAGTAAGAATGGACATGTTCCTACTTATTACCTTGCAAATTATTACCAGCATATGCTTATACTATAAATCATCTCTATCTATTATTTTCATGACTCTCTATTGCCGCATACATGCAGGTACCTCATTGTTATTGATGATATATGGGATACGAAACCATGGGAGATGATACGGTGTGCTCTACCGAGAATGGCCTGAAAAGCGGAGTACTCACAACTACCCGTATAATTGATGTTGCGAGAGCATGTTGGTGGTTGCTATAGGATGAAACTTCTTACTCAAGAGAGCTCTAAAATCTTATTCTATGGACGAATATTTGACTCTATAGACAAGTGTCCTCAACAATTTTCTGATGTATCCACAAAGTTTTGAAGAAATGTGGAGGTGTTCCATTAGTTATTGTTACCATATCTAGCTTGCTGGCAAATAAGTCAAGAAATATAAATGAGTGGTACAATGTGTGTGATGCAATTGGTACCGGAATAGGAAAGAATCCCGGTATGGACGATATGAGGAAGATATTGCTGCTTAGCTATTATGATCTAACTCCTCAGCTGAAGACATGCTTATTGTATCTAAGTCTATTTCCTGAAGATTGTGAGGTTATAAAAGATAGGTTGATTTTGAGGTGGATAGCTGAAGGATTTGTCCAACAAGGAGATGTGAGGCAAAGCTTATTTGAGATTGGACAGAGTTACTTCAATGAGCTTCTAAACAGAAGCCTTATCCAGCCAGGAGACATCGATGAGGATGATATGTATCCTCTTGGTTGCCGGGTGCATGATATGGTTCTCGATCTCATTTGCTCTTTGTCAAGAGAAGAAAGTTTTGCTACCAGATTAACTGATGACTGCAACCAAATCACAACTTATTTGGAAAGCAAGGTTCGCAGGCTCTCCATCCATAATACTACTCGGCCTACAATGAACATGTCAAAATTGAGGTCACTTACTATCAACAATCCTGCTATAATTAATTCAATGCCACCCATGTCATGCTTTTACCTTCTGCGTGTATTGGATCTTGAAGACTGCAATCTTAAAGACCATCCAAGTCTAGATTTTGTCGGGAAATTATTTCACCTGAGGTATCTAAGTCTATTGAATACTGGATATGCTGGCGACCTCCCAAGAGAGATAGGGAAGCTACAGTTTTTGCAGACATTGTGCTTCCATGAAACTGACATAAAAGAAGTGCCACTGAGTATCTTCGGGCTGAGACAATTAATGTTCCTTCTTGCTGGGGACACTACAAGGCTGCCAACAAGTGGGTTGAGAAATCTATCGTCTCTCGAGCTGCTTGTGATGAACATGGATTCTGCAAACATTGCAGAAGAGCTAGGCCATCTGACGCAACTAAGGGTGCTATGGGTTATGCTCAGAAAGGACAAGGAAGGCAGATGGGATGAAAGCATGTGCAGAGTTCTGTTGGGGTCCCTTGGCAAACTACACAGAATCCAAACTCTAGGAGTACGAATCTCAGATGACGTGGAAGTTGATGTTGAAGGCTCAATCGACTCCCTGTGGAACCTATCTCGGCTTGTTATTTATGGAACCAGTCGGTTGCCGAAATGGATCGATCCCACATCATTTCTCCCCCCTATACTACCTGGACATAAAGGTGGGTCAAGTTAGAAGTGAGGACATCCAAGTCCTCGGCATGCTGCGGGCTCTTCGTGTTCTGGAAGTGAAAGTGGTCAAGCCAAAACAAGTGTTTGAAAGGTTCATGATTAGGGCGACGCTTTCTCATGTTTGACACGGTGCAAATTCTCCGGGTTTTCAACAATGCCATCTATGTTCCCAACCGGAGCTATGCCCAAGCTTCAACGTTTTAAATTCTATATCCGACCAGAGAATTTCGGCGACGATGGATTGATTGTTGACGACCTGGCCTTAAGCCACCTTCATCCCTTCGACTGTTCGGGTTCGCCTTGATGGAGAGGATACATCGGTGAAGAGCTAGCAATGAAAGTAAAAGAGGCGCTGAGGAACGAGGCTCGTGCCCACCCCAACCATCCTGATATTGATATCAGAATTGACGGCCAATGGATCCAGCTGTGCATGTACGTATTCCTATTCCTTCCTCTGCATGATTTAGATGGTTCTATAACTTTTCTAAGTGAACGCTTACTGTAGTCTGCCTAATAATCTCCTGCATGCTGCCATTAATACAATGACATCGATCGATGCCCCTAAATTCACCAACAACTTACCAGGAAAAATAACATATTTATCTCACCAGCTTATTCCAGTTTTATATGTCTCTAAGAATCCTTTACATTGTTATGCTTATAGTTTCCTTCTGATTCATTTGTTACTAGCACAACTGGTGATTGGACAATCTACTTTTGAACACTGTTTCTTCTTTGCACAGTTAGACTCCGGCTGGAACCTTGTTCCATTATCTAAAAAAATGTTAGACTCTGTCGTCATATTCAAAAATCAATGTGGCTGTCCTCTGATATAGAAATTCTGAGTTATTGGTAAATGATGAAAATCCTTTGTGGTGTACATGTACCAGGTAATGGATGGATGTACATTGGCTACGGCCTCAGGCACTGCCTACAGCAAGTACATCTGCGATATCTTGGCCAATGGCCCGTTGCTCACTGTCTCCACCTCATGTTTCCATTGCAGTTGATTAAGCAACAAGCTGTGCATTTTCCACTGTTCGCGATCCATCTTTGCTGTGCGATAGAGATCAATGACCATGCCTACACGCAAATTGTTCTCGTGTATTCAATCATGCTATCTGAATCTCTGTAGATCCACTTGGCTCACTCAAGATTCAGTTTACTTCTGCTCTTTAGACCTTCAGTAACACTTCTTCAGGGCTGCCGTTTCTAGTTTTTATCCGGTCTGTGTACTTACAAAGTTACAATTAAGTTTGTGCCGTATACTATGCTGTGCAAAATTAATGGAGGCACACTCATCATATGCTGTCATCATGGTTTTTTACTTTTTATTGCTGTCACCGTTTCCTGTACACATCATGCATGTTGCAGTTTGTTTGGTATGTTTGGATGACAGCTGATGAGCAGACGCACTGAGTATGTCGGCCACAGTGAGTCCGATCCCAATAAGCAACTAATCAAAACAACAGGTTGTTGCCACAGTGCTTAATCACTTGATTTAAATCTGCCACCATGGTCCGAAGAGCCGAGAGGCCACTTTTCTGTGCGAAATGATTCTAGTCGCCATGAAGAACCATTGGCGCAATAATGGTCAGATTGAGAAAAGATCCAGCCAAATTCAGAAACTTAAAAAACCTTGTAATATGATAAAGCTGCACGACACAAGTGAAAGAAGCACATGGTTGTCACGATACTGCTCAAGACACTAGTGCTGCCAAGATGAGCGTTGGGCCAAACCAAGATGATGGGCAGGGCCACAAGTTGGAGAAGCGATTGGGCCACAACAGAACACTAACGGCACTCACAAGCCCAATTTTGGTTCTGCAGGTTTAGAATGGAGGAAGTAATCTAGGCCCCAACAAGGAAAAAGTCAATATGAACTCCATTAGAAAACTATATTTTTAGACTCACTAAACATTTTAAACCATGGGATTTACCCACTACAACATGACTCGTTATACAAGGCATTAACAAATGCCTCCAAAAATGATCAAAACGCCTTCAAAGACCTTTTGAGGCATTTATTAAAACGCCGGCTAAAACATGGAAGTAAAAGGTCTTTTGAGGCGTTTTTCCAAAATGCATTTTAATATCAACTTTTAAAGGCATTTTCTGACTGCCTAGAATACTTTTTAGAGGCGCTTAGGAATTTGCCTTCAAACATCGATGGAGGCGTTATTAGAAATGCCTCCAAAACTAAGGTATTCATGCAACCCTTTCGACCAATATCAAATTAGCACACTAACAATGAGAGCACACATTAAAATTGGATGCATCCAAACTTTAAAATCTCTCGTACAGCCATAAGCTTTCATCTCCAAATATAAGTACAATTGTCAGGTTCTCGTTCCTGAATGACTATCCTCAGTCCTGTTGTTTAGGTTCAGTCCTAAATGACACAGGTTTGCTGCTCCCTTTAAGATAAATACTGACATGTTCACATCACAACTATATACACATATGTATAAGTATAAATCCAACTGAATAGATGTTGCCTCATTGCCATCCTTCCTGCTGTCCCCACTTACCTCATTGCCTCATTGCCATCCTTCCTGATCTCCAAATATCTGCTAACTCGATATAGAATCAGACCCACGTAAGAATCAGATTCACTGCTTGCAACCAAATAAACTTGTCCCAATAAGTATCACCAGGCTTTAGAACAAGTCATTAAAACACTAAGCTGAATAAATGTAGTAGAGCCGGACATGACAGAGTTACTCTACTTCAGCAAGATAACAAACATGGTACTATTGAATCAATTAAGATGACAGCATCATGGTACTATTGAATCTGGATTACAAACATGCCAAAACATTTAGAAATGTATATATAGACACAATCACATGTACCTGTAGACAAATCGAGCAGGGAAAACATGACAAATCTTCATTTGTCGAGTACATAACAAATAATTTTCCAATAATGAGAAGCAACAAGATGTTAACATTCTCTTTTGGAATCCCAGCATCATGCTCCTGTCAGCTGATTAAGCCACAAACAGGAAAACTAAATTATGCTCGTGATAGCTGCTTAAGCTGCCAACAGAAAAATTGCATCATCCAATCAACCAACATGAAAATAACATTACAAAGGCTAATCGCATATTCTAATTACTTCCTGACCTACTAAATCTAGAATTAAAGGCAAGGACACAGGTTTGTAGATTTTTTAATACTCAGACCAAAACGCATGGAGTTGAGCTTTGATGGGGAAATGTTGCATGCATGGAAATCGATTTCAGTGTGCAGGATACATGAGGCTGCAAGTCGGTTTAGTAAACAGCAAAAAGGCAACACAAACCTAAGTGGAATTTCATCAAACATGTTACCTGCACAGATCTCTCCACAAACCCATCTCCATGACCAACCCGAGCAATCTGACGCGTGTCAAACATCTCTCCATAACATGCCTAACCACCGACACCCCTGCCTTCGCATCTATCCTTCTAGTATTCCATCTCTCTAGGGAGGGGATCAGGAACGACAACATGGAAGAGAAATCATGAATCAAGAGGTGCTGACCTTGGCAGTTGAGGTCTCGATGTAGATCGTGATCGATGGAGCGCAGAGGAGGTGGATCGGGGTTGGACAATGGCGTCGTCGTTGTTGTCCACGACGGGTGTGGACGTCAGCAACCGCCAAGCAGCCGCCCGACGCAGCCACGATGATGGAGGTAGCACTTGGTGGAGGAGCACTTGAAGAAACGACGAACCCGACGAACTCCAACAACGATCTCCCGGCGCTGCCCAACGCAGCCGCGCCGCCTCCCACCAACCACGCCGCCGCACCCCCTCCCAGCAACAGCGCCGCCGCACCACCTCCGCGCAACCGCGCCGCTGCAACGCCTCCCCGTAGCCGCGCGCCTCGCCGCAGCCGCACCTCCGTTCGCGCGCCGAAGCAGGAGGGCCACGCTGGAGACGCCGGAGCTGGCCGCCTCTCCCACACCCCGTCCTTCCCCGTGTGGCTGCTATTGCGGCGTGGGCAGCTTGCAACCCCGTGGGCCCGGAGAAACAATTTGCGTGGGCGGTGGGCAGGCCGTCCCTCCCGATCTCCAGTTTTTCTTTTGCTAATTAAAAATTTGTATTATAATTTTCCTTTGTGTTTTCTAGTGTCGTTTGCTTCTTCCGGTGGAGTAGCACAGTGAATCGAGTCTACAAGTTTTTTTACTCACAGCAGCACAGGACTTTGAAGGCGTTTGACAAAAAACGCCTCCAATTGCTATAGTCACTTAAGGCTTTTTTAATTTTGCCTTCAAAAAAATGTTTTTAGAGGCATTTTTTGAAGAGTGCCTTTATGTAACAAGAAATTAAAGCATTTCGAAAAAACGCCTTTAAAAAAATGCCTTCTATTAAGAGACATGCTGTAGTGACCTCCCAAGTGAATTTGAAAGCGGGTTTAACAGACATGGTGTCACTCTCAGCTAAAACTGTATTAAAAATTATCCAGGGAGGTAAATCAAACAGCTTCATTTTTAAGATAATGGATTTTTAATAATCCAGCCTATATATCGACGAAGGATATGTACAACCAAAATGAGACAAGAGCATTTAGACTCACACTTCAATAAAGAGGAGAACACATATCCAAAAAAAAGGAAAAAAAACTATGACCTCGACACATCTTGCTTCCAGACATCCTCTCCTGAAACGGTCAAACTCGGTGGGTGGAAGTCGTCAAGCTACCGCCACCCCCAGTGCGCCATTGCTGCGAACTTCTGATGGTTGGTTCCATCTTCATCCGCTTCAAGTGAGATGACACCACATGCCATTGGTTAGCCAACTGACGAGAGTCAAACATTGGTGTATGTTAAGTCACAGGAAAGAATTCCTGACCGACGGTTCCCCCAACCGACCTCTCAACAACGTGGCTCGGGGAATATAACCATCGGGTACGCTCGCTCCCACTCTATAGTCGGAAGTTAGGTAGAGCCCCAACACACCCACGGCCACTGTTAGGGTTCACGGGCCCACCAGGGCCCTAGGATCCCGAGCGACGGCAGCCTGAGCCTGACTCCAGCCCAGCACCAATCCGAGCCAGTGCTCGGGCAAGGAACCCATATCGCGAGTGACGGCCAACCTGTCAGGCATCCGAGGTCCCCATAGGTACAGAGATCCCACGACGCCAGTCCGTTCAACACGGGCGCAAGGCACTGTCTGCCACTTTCTCGACTGGGTCACGCAGCCAGCGTGACACAATAGGACAAACGACTTCACCAACTCCGGGGCGCTGCTCCAAGGCCCCACTCGTCGACCTCCCACCAGGCTCCTCTTCGCAAGCAAGGAAGCCTCGAGAAGGTTCACCTAGTGGAGGCCGGACCACAGCAGACAACCCCTAACGGTCAAGTAAGTATGTTTTTTGAGCAACTAGAGGTAACAATGTTATAACCAATCTTATAGATGGGCTGCTCTACAAATGGGCTACGGAAGTGCACAAATTGGCGTACCAAGTAGAGTATGAACTTTGAAGGGATGCGGAATAGATGGGCTCAACCATGAGAGAGGAAATTAATAGGCTAAAATGATAATTAGGAATAATAAAAAATAATAGAATAAGGTTTTGGGTTGAATTTTGATGTGATTTGGAGGGACATTTCCTAAGATTTTTTCTAAGGCGATTTAAACCTAGAACCTCTTCAAATTTCTAATTTTATTTTCACTTTGCGTCATATTCAATGTCGCATCAACAAAACATCTTTAGGTAGCTATATCGGTTAATTGATATGGTCTAGAATGTGTCTACATGCTACCGACAGTCCAAAGTGTGTCAAATTTTGTTTCATTTTAAGGTGGTTGCATTATTATATAAAAACTAGTCCATCAACCCGTGCTCCTGCACGGACTAATTTTAAGATACTTAAGCACAATATAATTTTTTGTTTAGTATATATTCGCTAATAAAAATTACTTATGCAATTCACTTTGATTCGAATCCATAGTTACACATGTGTATAAGATTTGACATTGGCATGAATGAAAGAGGTTGTCGTGCCACAACTAATGATGTAACATTATTTTGATTCCACGGTTGAGTGTCTTCCTTTCCTTTATTTGTTTGGTGTCCTTGTATAGCTGATTTTTTTGAAGTACTATATGTGTGTGTTGGACATAATCCCTCTTTAGTAATTGAACTA